TTCACGTTTCAGAGGTGAAGTGATTTGCCCAAGCTCACATAGTTAGCAAGTGGCAAAGCGGAGATTCAAACTCTGGTGGGGGTGGGGGATGGGGGAGTGGGGCTGTCCTTATCACTCCGCCATGCTGATTTGTAGAGATTCTCTTGGGGGTGATTCCTGCCTGAGGGAGAGATTTTCTGGTCGCAGATCCTTTGGGGTCAGAGATGCCTTGGGCTCATTTCCGTATGAAGGAGGTCTTGTCTTCAACCCCACAAATTCCATGGAGAGTAATGAAGGCAGAGACCTTGGAGCATTCTTTCTGCCAAGGGTTAGAGTATCTGTGCCCCAGAGATTCAGTAGGGGCCAATGGAGGCAATGACCATATGTGGCTGGATACTCCTCTAGCTGGGGGTGGGCGTTAGGAAGTCTGGAGAATGGGGACAGTTGGCACCACGCTGGACTTCAGTGTCTTATGTGCTTAGGGGTAGTTCTTTGTGTGCACCCTACCAAAGTCACACAGTCTCTTTTCACTCTTCCTCTCTTACCCAATCTTCAATTCCTTCAGCCTGAAACCAGGACTCTCCTTTCTAGCTCTTTTCTCAGACCTAGATGTAGATCTTGGGCTTTAATCCTTCCACCATTGCTAACAAGGCATTCCGTCTTGGACTCTTTTGTCTCTTCAACCTTGGACAATCCCATCCTGGTAATGCCTTGTTCCCCAGCAACGCATGGCCTCCATCTGCATATCTGACTATAAGATTTTGCCCAAAGTCACACTGATAGTAAGTCCTGGGCTGGAGCAGCCCTGTTGCCTGTGGCAGGTAATGGTAAGAGTTGGATTTCAAATCTAGATTTTGAATCAAAGCACCTCAATTCTAATCCCTGGCTTGGCCACTTACTACCTATGGTATCTTGGGCTATCTATCTATCAATAAGTATTCATAATGTGCCAACTACATACCAGGCCCTGTGGTGGGGATACAAAGGTAAAACTTTTAGTCAGCCTTTGCCCTTGAGCAGCTTACATCCTATGGGAGGAGGAGGCAACATGTGTGGACAGTGATACCATTCTTATAGGGTTAGTATATCAGTACTGATGGAGTTCTGGGAATTCCCAGTGAGGAAACTCATTCTATCAGTGCAGGTCAATACTTCCTCTGAAATTGAGTCTTGAAAGTTGCTCAAGGTGTTGAGAGGGCACCCAGGGTCATGCAACCAGGCTAGAAAAGGCAGTTTTTGGAGACAGAGGCAGCAACAACTTGGGAGATCAGGAAAGTTCTTATGTAGGAGGTGGTATTTGAGCAGAGCTCTGAAGGAAACTAGGAATTCCAAGAAGCAGCAGTAGAGGAGAGCATTGCAGCTGTGGGAGACAGCCTTAGCAAAGTCACAGAGGTGTCTTTCTCCATTAGACTGCAAGCTCCTTGAGGGCAGAGACTGTCTTTCTTTTGCTCGGCACATAGTAGGAGCTTAAAAAATATTTACTAACTGACTAACTAGCTGATAGGAGCAGTGCTACAGGGAGGATGGAGGGGCTTTGGCATCAGGACCCTACTGTTGCCTGGGATGCAGCCTGATTGAATGAATACCTCCTGATCCTGGATCTTGGTTCTAAATGAGATTCTGATATGTCAGCTGACTTTGGGAAATGAAAGCAGCAATAAATTCAAGCTACTTCTCAGGGACTTCAGGGGATTCTCTGGTCCTGGGTGATCTCTTAACTCCATCCTCATGGCAACGATGCCCTCCTCAGGGCTCTTAAGTGTATATCTTGGGGGCTAAGAACAGAAGGATTTCCCTTCTTGAGTGGCTATTATTATTATTATTTATTATTACCTCTACGAGAGCTAGTAGTGTAGTAGCAGTAGTTAGTAGTAGTACTGGTGGGTAGTAGTAGTGGTGGTGGTAGTAGTAGTAGTATTGGTAGGTGGTGGTAGTGGTAGTAGCAGTAGTACTAGTACTAGTAATGGTAGTTAGTGGTAGTAATAATAGTAGGTAGTTAGTAGTAGTAATAGGGGTAGTAGTAAGTCAAAGTAGTAACAGTAGTAGTAGTAGCAACAGCAGCAGCAGTTAGCATTTATAGAATGCTTTAAGGTTTGCAAAGTGTTCTGCATATTCTACAAATCTCATCTGATGCTCACAACAATCCTGTGAGGTAGGTGGTATTATTATCCCCATTTTACAGATGAGGAAACTGAGACTTCTGGGGTTCAGAGAGGTTGTGTACCTTGCCCAGGGACAGATTGCAAGTACGTCACTGAGGTAGGATTTGAACTCAGGTTTTTCTTGACTCTAAGTCTAGTACTCTTCTACCTAGCAGATACAGAGTTGCTCTTGGAGCCAACAAGACCTGGAATCAAGTCCTACCTGTGATATGAACTGTCTGTGTGACCGCAAGCTAGTCATTAAATTTCTCAGTACCCCCACACAACTCTAAGACTGTCAGTTGCAGAGAAAGTGTCCTGGATCCATATTGGTAGCAGCAGGTCTTCCCTGGTAGCTCTTTAATCACAGGTCTGGTAAAACAAATAAAAGACAATACTACCACCAAAGATCATGTTGTTGGCTCTTATGGACTCGCATATGTATCAGAGCCTTAGCTTTAACCCAGTGATGACAGCAGCAATGGCAAAAACTCAACCTAATACCAAACCCTAAACAGTCCCTTCATTTGTGGAGATTTCAATGTAATTCGAACATGGCATGTGCACAGAATGAACCCTAGTATGAGTTGAGAATGAGATAACTGTCTAGGAGAGACCAAAGAGAGAAGCAGGAGAGGTTTCGAGAGAGAGAGAGAGAGCCTTGAATCTAGAAGGAGGACTCTTGGAAGGCCCCATGAAGGCAGCACTTGAAAAATCTTGAAGAAATCATTAGTGGACACTTTGGGCCTGAAAGGGCCAGTGAAATTAGATTCCAGCAAGATTTTCATCCCATCTGCCTCGGAATCCCCCCTTTCATACGAAACCTTCCTTCTTTCCTTAGAGTCAATTTCCCCCTTCTCATCCTACATAGGGTAACCACTTGTACCAGTCATCCTGCTTTAGCTGAGACAGCCCCAACCAGGGTAATTGTAAATAGGTAATTGTAAATATCATAACAGAAACAGAAACCTCATGATGCACAATGGAAAGAGCAATCTGGAAGCTGGGAAATCTTGGTCCTAGAGTCTAGGACCGAGACTCTGCTTTGCCACTAAGTCTCTGAGGGACCTTGATCAAGTTGCATCCCCTTCTAAACCTCAGTTTCTGCATTTCTAAAATTGAAGGGCTTAGATAGATGTCCACTGAGGCCCCTTCCTAGTTTTGACATTCAGTAATCTAAGTTTCTCTCAGACATTTCATACTCCATGTTCTAAGGTCCTGTCTTAGCTGTGTTCTTTTCCCAGCAGAGGAGATGTGAGGATGCCCAGTGCCCAGGACAAGCCGGCTGTCAGTTTTTGAGGCAGTATGGACTAATAGAAAGAGCACTGGACTGAGCTAGGACCCCTGGTTTTAGCCCTTGGCTTTGCATAAACTTGTTCTGTGACATGGTCCTTGTTGAGTTGTTTTTTCAGTCATGTCTAACTCTTTATGATCCTATTTGGGGTTTTCTTGGCAATGATACTGGAGTGGTTTGCCATTTCCTTCTCCAGCTCATTTTATAGATGAGGCAAACAGACATAAGTGGTTTGCCTAGGGTCACACAGCTAGAAAGTATCTGAGGCCAGGTCTGAACTCATGAAAATGAATCTTCCTGATTCCAAGCCAAAGGCTCTATCTACTGCACCGCCTATCTGCATGACCTTGGTCCTGTCCCTCCTTTTGCTCACCTGCAAAATGATGAGGCTGGACTAGAGTAGGAATTCTCAGCCTGTTTTTAAAAAAAATGTTGGAACCGTATTTCAATGTAATTGGCTGCTTTCTTGATAATCATATGTATTCTGTTTTACACATTTAAAAGTATGATTCTGATAAAGCGTCCGTAGTCTTTACCAGATTGTCAAAAGGGCCCATGGCACAAAAAGGGTTAAGGACCCCTGAGTAAGAGGAACTCTAAGGTTCCTTCTAGTCAGAAGCATTTATTAAGCACTACTGTGTGCCAGGTACTGTGCTAAATCTGGGTATACAAAGAAAGTCCACGACATGGTTCCTGCCTTCTATGAGCTTACATTTGAATGGGGGAGAAAACATCCAGACAATCATGTACCTCCAAGATGTAGACAGTGAAAATGGTGGGGAAATAATAGATCAGATTAGTAGTGCCAAACTCAAATCGAAATGGGAGTCTTAGCTCTAAGGAGGATCTCTTTGAGCTGCATATTGACTTAGAAAACCACATATTAATATTATCTATGTTTTATTGTATTTTCATTTAATTCATTAAATATTTCCCAATTACATTTTAATTTGGTTCTGACTCCCTTGGGATACACAAAATGAATAGTTGACACCACTATCTGTATACCAGACTGTAAACGGAAAGTAATTTCAGAGGGAAGGTGGGAGGGCGAGTAGGAGAGAGATGGGGGGAAAGATACAGAAAGGGTTAAAATGTCTCCTGAAAAAGGTGGAATTTGAGCTAGGTCATGCTGCAAGCTAAGAAACTCAGGAGTCAGAAGTGAGGAAGGAGAGTGCTTTGGGTATGAAGAATAGCCAATGAAAAGGCAGAGAGTGGGAAGGTGAGTGCCATGTGTGAGGAAAAGCAAGGAAGTCAGTATTATTGGAACACAGAGGACAGTGAGATGTAGGAAGACTGGAAAGGTAGGAAGGGGAAAGGGTATCAAGGTCTTTAAAAGTCAAACAAAGGCTGATCCTGGAAGTAATAGGGAACCACTAGAGTTTATTGAGTGGGGTGTAGGACATGGTTAGATCTGTGCTTTAGGAAAATGGGACTTTGGCAACTGAGTAGAGAATGGAGGGGAATGAGAGGAAACTTAATATGACAGCATCCAGAGGGATCTTGCAACAATCCAGTTGAGAGGTGATGAGGGCCTGTGCCACAATCTACATGTCTACAATTCAATTTCATAATTCTTGTTGCAGAGGCCAGAACAACATGAACCATGGAAAAGCTTTTCATCTATATCCTATGAAGCACCTTGAGGCAAATGAGGGAAGAATATGGAGACCCGTGAGCTGCTCAGGTGAAAAAGTTGCCCACCTGGAGGGGGCTGTATTTATCCCTTATGCTTGAAAGAAACCACTTGAACAGATGCCTTGAAACTAATTGTTAAGATCAAAAGAGAAGAGGCCATAATAAAGACTAAAGAGAGAGAGAGTGAGAGAGAGAGAGAGAGAGAGAGAGAGAGAGAGAGAGAGAGAGAGAGAAAGAGAGAGAGAGAGAGAGAGAGAGAGAGAGAGAGAGAGAGAGAGAGAGAGAGAGAGAGAGAGAGAGAGACTTGTTTCTGGTCTGAGAGCATATGAGGGGACAGAGGGAGGTGGAAGGGAAGGTGGTAATGGGACACTAGTTTGTTACCTGTAAGTGCTGGACTCGGAGTAAAAAAAAAACTGGGTTCAATTTCCACCTCTGATGAATGAGTGAATGAATGAAGAAGTATTTCCTAAGTGATTACTATAGTCCAGCTGGGGATGCATGCAAATACAAAAGTGAGAGAGATCCTTCCCTCAAGGAGCTTACATTCTAATGGGAGAGACAACACAAATAGAGAAGTAGGTAGCTAAGGAAAAGAGCTTCTGGGGAGTCACTGGGATGGTGGATTGGTTGATCAATAGAGTAGTCAATTAACATACCCTATCCAAGAACAATGGAAGTGATAGGGTGATGGGAGCAAATATGTTGTGTTTTAGGGTGCTGAGAACCTTAAAATGTAAGGGTACAGGGTGGTCTGCCTGGAAAGAATTTAGTCACTCAAGCCTTCTTTCAGTCAAAGTAGTGAGGTTTATTACAATGCCAATAGGAGCATGCAGAGTTCCTAGTGAATCTGTGAATTTGATGAGAACCTGGACTGATACTAATATAAAAAAAAAAGGCAGTGAAAAGATCTGGATGGAATTAAGGAGTGGTGCATAGCCTGGGGTGACCCAGGTTCAGACAGTGAAAGGAGTTAAGTGGTGGGAGATCCACAATGAAAAGACTATTGAAAGGACTATTAAGTATCTAGGTGGGCTGATCTGGACCAGGCCTTGGATGGAGGCACCAGTGATCTGGGCTACTGAAATGTATGGGAAAATTCAGAATTCAGGTCCTATCACCCCCATCAGAGCAGTCAATTAACATGCTCTATCCAAGAACAGTGAAATATGGTAGTATATAATTATTGACCCAGCTCCAGTAGAAGGGGGAGAAGGAGAGGAAGGGGAAGAGAGGCAATTGGCGTTTTCAAGGCAGCTGGATATTTCATATTCATCTAGTTGTCAGGATGATATCCCTATGTTGCCCAGTATATTCTTTGAACACTAGTCTCTGCCACCTTCTGTAAGTGAACTAATGTGCACCTCTTTGGTGGTGTTGACTAGGCAGAGAGGTTAATTAAGAGTTGATTAGTCCTCCAGAGAGATATCCTTTGTTCATGGAGATGACCTTTATAATGGTGTGTTGTTATGGGGAATGGGGGTGGAGAATATTTAACACTTTAATGTGGGTATAGCTGAGAGAAGTGACTATCAAGGTGGGGCTTGCTATGTAGAGATGCATAAGGCTTGGGCTCTACCTTTAGGGAGCTCACTGTCTAATAATAATAATAATAATAATAATAATAATAACAACAACAACAACAACAACAACACTATCTGGCATTTACATAGCACTTAAAGGTTTGCAAAGTGCTTTCCATTTGTTGACTCATTCAGTCCAGTTAGGTGCTGTTATTCAACTCCATTTTGTAGATGTGGAAACTGAGGAAAGAAGACAAATGAACACTTATTAAGTGCCTACTATGTGCCAGGCACTGTGCTAATAACTTACCAATATTATCTCTGTATATCCTCACAACAGCCCTGGGAGTTAGATGTAATTACTATCCCCATTTTATAGTTGAAGAAACTGAGGCAAATAGAGATTCAGTGACTTGTCCAGTGTCACCCAGGTAGTCGACGTCTGAGGCTGGATTTGAACTTGGGTCTTCTTGACTCCAAGTGCAGAATTCTATCTGTTGCACCCCCTCACTGTCTAGATGGGAAGCAGTAATAGCAAATTTACACAATAGATAGATGCCAAGCAAGTGCTGTTCTGAGGCCCAAGGAGGGAAAGGTAACACTTCCCTGGACGATGGTGGGAGCCCACTCAATGACCTCTGTGCCTCCAATTTGTCCTACAGACACTTGCCTTTCGATTTAGTTTAACAAACATTTTTCAAATGCCTCTTTCACCTACTTATGTATTATCATGTAATAGAAAGAACCTTTGACTTCAAGGCAATGATCTAATTTAATTCAATGAGCATTTTTGAAATGTCTCCCATGTACAAAGCACTGTACTACACACTAGAGTAGGGCTGCTAATCCTTTTTTAGTGTGTGACGTGGACCTCTCCTTGGCAGGTTGGTGAAGCCCATAGACCCCTGCTTAGAATGATGTTCTTTGATGCATAAACTAAAATACAAAGGAAATCAATTACATGGAAATAAAGATCACCTTTTTCCCCATTCAAGTTCATAGACCCCTTGAAATCCATCCATGAACTCTAGGTTAAAAACTCCTGTAGTGGTGGTGGTGGGGACAAACAATCTTTTGTTACAAAAAGCTTACATTCTACGGGAGATCTAGATTTTAATTCTGGCTCTGAAACTCCCTAGCTGTATTGTCTGCTGATAAAATCAGCTAACCTCCCTGACCCTCAGTGTTCTCATCAGCAAAATGAAGCAAAAAGAAGGCTTGCCCTACCTACCTCGTGGGGGGCAGATTATAAAACCTAACACTGCACTAAGACTTTTGGGACAGATTGTAAAGGTTATAATCTGATAAATGGGGAGATGAGGTCCGGAGCCCAATTTATTTCAGTGGATATTAATTAAGTGCTTGCCATGATCAAAACACCAAGAATTGGAGCCAGACCTGGGGATTTAATAATAATATTAATAATAGCTACGATTTATATAGCACTTACTATATACCAGGCACTGTGTGCTATACATGTCCTTTATGATTATTATCTCATTTGATCCTCACAAATAGGAGATAGGTGTTATTATTACCCCCATTTTACAGATGAGGAAACTGAAACAAGCAGAGGTAAACTGACTTACCCAGGGTCACACAGCTAGCGTTCGAGGTCAAATTTGAATTCAGGTCTTCCTGACTCCAGGCTGAGCTAGCTGCTCCTAAGGAGGTCTTAGTTGAGGAAACTCTCTACAACAATGGAGGTCGGTACTTTCTCTACAATTAATAATCTTAGAGAAGTGCCTGGAGCACTGAGAAGTTACCTGCCCTGCCCAGGGTCACACAGCCCAATGGGTCAAGGGTGGGACTTGAGCCCAGGTCTTCTTGGCTTTGAGGACCATTCTCTAACCATTATATCATACTTCCTCTCATCCCCAGGCACAGGGAATACAAAGATGACAGGCCCTACCCTCATGTTGCTTAGAGTCTACTGAGACATATGTATAGAGCTGTATGGGAAATGTAAGGAAGGAGAGATCACTTACAGCAGGGGCCTCAAGTAGTGGTCTTTGGAGGAAGTAGAGCCTGAGCTGAGTCCTTAAGGAAGGCAAGACTGTCTACAGGAAGAGAAAAGATGGGGACTGGCATATCCCAGTCGTGGTGGACAATGTCTGGGAGTGACTAAGTGTGAGTTCAGAAGAAAGCCTGGGGAACCATCCAAGTAGGGCAAGATCACTAGAATAAAGCACCGATGGGTTGTTTGGGGGCTGGAGTTCTTTATGGCAAGCTCCCCAGGGCCCATCTCCAGTTGGGATTAGAATTCTGGGGCATAGTCAGTGCTACAATCTAGAAAGGACTCTAGCCCCAGCTCTGTCCCATGGATGTATCTGGCGTGGGATCCTGTTCAGGCTTGGGTTCCTCATCTGTACAATGGGAATGATCAGTCCTGCCCTGCTGCCCCCATGATGGGGCTGTTGAGAGACTCACAGGAGGTCAAGGATGGGAAAGTGCTTTGTAACTGCATGCTTTAAGCAAACATGAGCTATTATCATACTGACACTTTAATGGCTTAAGCAGGTATCAACCTGTCTGTAATTTATAATCTTAAAAAAATTTCCTGAGGCTCAGAGATGTTAATTGATTTTTCCAGTTTTCATAAACTTAGTGTCAGATGCAGGATTTGAACCCAGGTCATTCTGATTAAGTCCAGCACTCTTGAGTTATGCTATGTGATATTTTCTCTCTGAGTTATTATGTTATTAATATTCTCTCTGAGTATACTATGACATCTATTATCCAATAGGAAGCTGCTGGGAAGCAGGAGTAAGAAAGTACTGGGTTCAAAATCTACCTCTGATATATGCTGATCTTGTGACACCCAGCAAGTCACTTAATTTCTCAGGGCCCCAAGCAACTCTAAGATTACAAATTGCAGAACAAGTGTCTGTCTGAATTGGTAGAGGGAGTTCCCTATGCCAGTAAAATCATAAGTCCGAAAGATCCCATTATACATTATTATCATGTATTTTTTTGAATATTATCATGTATTAATCACACCCACCTATGTTGCACTTAAGCCCTGATTAGGTGAATTTAATTGAACAAATATTTATCATTAACATCAGTAAGCACTTATTAAGAGCCTACTATATGCCAGGCACTGTGCAAAGTGCTGGAGATATGTTGTTATTGTTCAATCATTTCAGTGGTGTCTTCGTGACCCTATTTGGAGTTTTCTTGGCAAAGACACTGGAATGGTTTGCCATTTCCTTCTCCAGCTCATTTTACAGATGAAGAAATGGAGACAAACAGTGTTAAGTGACTGGACCTGGGTTACCCAGTGAGTGCTGAGACTGGTTTTGGACTCAGGGAGATGAGTCTTCCTGACTCTAGGCTTGGCACTCTGTGCACTATGGCACCACCCAGCTGCCCTCTGGAGATATAAAGAAAGGCAAAAAAACAGTCCTTGCCCTCAAGAAGCTTACAGTCTAATGGGAGAAGCAACATAACAAACAATTATGTACATTCTCAATATATACAGTGTAAATGGGAGATAACCTTAGAGTGAAACCATATATTGGTTAGCAATGAACATTTATATAGTGCTTTATTTTACAGAGTACTTCTATATGTGATCTCCTTTGATCCTTCCAATGCCCTTGGGAACCAAGTGCTACAGGGCATCATTATCC